ATTATAATTATAATATGCTGAGATAATCTAAAAATATGTAAGACACATCAAAAATGTTCTCTTTTGCAACTGACTTATTCTGTGTAGTACTAGCTTGTGAAATATTATTCAGACATGCTTGTATTATGGTATGACAACTGTTGAGTAGACTTTATTCTAGTACATAAATTATTATGTGATGGCTAATTTGCACGTTGTTATAAATCATCATTAAGCTGACATCATCAAAACAAGTTTTAAGTGTGAATGCTATCCTTTAAAATCATTTTTATAATATAGGATTAAATTTTGTGTATATGTCCTTTATGTTTGTTAGTGGAGTGATGTGCATAATCTGCACTAATTTTGCTAGAATTAATTTATTAGGAGCAATAGACTAGTTTGTTTGAGGAGTGTGCACTTTCATACCAAAAAAAAAATATCTGTCCATAATTGGCAGGATAAACATTCAGTAGAACAAGTCGTATATATTGAAAACCTTTATGTAGTGGATTGTACTTTAAGTACTGCCGTTAGTTCTATAAGGCCAATAAGAAAGGTTTTTCATAATTATTAGTACTTATTCAAATAGATCATATGTATTAGTTCTTTCTGTAAATTGGGTTTAAGAAAGATTATTTGATGCATTATGTTTTTTATAAAAACAAGTGAATTTAACAGAAATGTAATGCTTATTGATAATCCACTTTGCTACCTTAAATGGATTTCGGTACATGTAACCCAACATTATTTTGGCTGATATATGTACATCATCCTCTTCATATATGTAGTTCTTAGTCATTATTAAGGATACTGAACAACCATGGCTTTATTTACTATGATGTAGTGCATGTACTCTTATTCATAGTCTTGTCAATGGTTTTCAACACAAAAAAAATGTTATATCTCTGTTGCTTTCCATTGCTCTCGTTGGTTCTGTTTATCATTGCTCATATACATTCTAGACTATCCTTGGACATAAGCCAGTATGTTAAAAATAAACAAACACTTTCTAGGAAATATAAGGTCAGAACAAAAATATACATTGTGTATTGACCTTTTAACCCATGAATTTATGTTCTTTTAGTTCTATATCCTTGATTTTGATAGATGTATTTTAACATTACATCAAGAAAGAAAGAAAATACTAGAGAAATAAACAATATTTCCTTCTTTACATCTTTTATATTATTATTATTACTGTTGTACTTACTCGTTATAATGTACAATAAATTACATGTATAGCTAGTCAAAAGATAAAACTGGAATAATATCGATATTTCCAATTTTGTCTGGCCTTTATAACATTGCATAAACATGGGTTTTATTTTCACTATATAACCTTTAGTGTAGTTGCACACCTAATCTACCAACTCGTTATTCTATGATGAAATAGATGACTTTCAGGTTTATCAGTAATTGCTATTAATGTAACAAATTAACTTTATTCACATTTTTTGGGCAATCTAGAATAATTATTTCCCAAACATTATAAATTAGATGATTTTTATTGGATGTTCTAGCCTAATTAGAAAAAACAACCAAAAAAACTAAGAGGCCTGAGAAAAAGGAGAATTTGAAATGCTATGTGGTAGAGATTTATATACATGTAGGACAGGTTTTATGATAATTTCTTCAAACAAATTCTGAACAAGAATTTTTTTTAGAAGATGTAATAGATAATTTCACATTTTCATATATATACATATAAAAGGTCATTCAAAAGTAGCATACTGTGGTGTTATCTATTCCTTAATTCAATCCGAGTGCTAGAAAGTGACACAACTGCCTACAAAATTTAATTTAGATGTCTAAAACAAGAAAAGTAAAATGTTTTTGGAGGTACTGTGACCCTGGCTTATATTGAATTGGATCTCATTACAATGTGATTATCAGGCCATGTTAAAAAAAGTGCAGATTAAAAGTTACCAGGAGTCCTGGATTATTTTTCAGGTTACTAGACACCTGTTTATCAATGTCACCTGAGGAAATAATGCTCATTCAATGGCAGATGTTTGTTACATAACTACTCTTAATTGCACAGTAATCAGTATTTATTCTCAGGATTAATAGGAAGAGAAAAACTATTCCACTTGTAAATCACAAACACCTGTAGCCACCACATAACCAACTAATTAATTATACATGGCCTTAGATAAGTTTAATTTGGATTATATTAACACTTAGTTCATAACACATCATTTATAGAACTTTCATTTATTAGTCTTTTGCCATTTTCTTTAAGTGAACATGAGGAATTGGTGTTTTATCAGTCAGCAGTTTTTATATCAATTCTTTCTTATTTTGTCCTTTGTCTGCATAAAAAGCAGTAATGATAGTTATGTGTACTATTAAGATGTATCCTGACTTTATCCAGCTAAACTGAAGTATTTTAAAATTTTTGTGCATAACTGTATAAATAATGTTACAGACATGTCTGGATAGCAAATAGTCAGAAGAACTAAATGTGTAGTGCAAAATTCTGTTGTACAAAATTACATCCAAAGTTAAACCATACTAAATTAAGTGTCATGAAGTTATGTATTATAATTTGTTGCCTAGAAAGTAGTATGTTACTTTAAAAAATCCAGAAATTTGATTATTTATGGTTTTATGCAGATCTAGTAAAAATTGATATCACTGTATATATTTTGTAGCAATAGAAAATTTTACTGTAGACTTAGCTAAATCTTTTGTGCCACTTCTGTCAGTAAAATTACAATACAACAGTAATAATTACCCATGAAATCCTTGAGACACCATTAAAATATTAAAACAAATTCTCCTGAAATTACTTCCTAAAATATAATCTATATCTTCTCCAGTTTTTATTTTATTCATACTGTTATTGTGCACTAATAATTTCAGTGTTTTTCACAAAACTTGTGGCACATGCAGCAAAGAAAGAGAAAAACATTGTCTGCACAGTTTGATTTACTGTGTTATTGCCATATGTACATTAAAATGAGGGAAAAAAAATATAAAGGTTTCTGTAATAAAAGATACATACCTGAATTGTGAAAATATATTTTCACAACTTAAAAATAAAGCTTTTAATGAAGAAGACATAAATTGTTATTAAAATATGGTGATAACTTTGCATGTACTTGTAATACCAGAATGATTACTCCAACTCTAGGTACCTGTAAATTAAAAGGAACAAATATATTCTATTTATCTTTTTTGCCATGTTGTGTAGTACACCTATAATTTGAACATTAATAGAGACAGAATTATTTTAAGCCAAACTAAGCAGCATGAAAGGATCTCATGTTGTTAGATTAGTCCCACAAAAAAAATGTTACTTTTAAAATTCATTGTTAAGGCTCTATAGCTGTTATTGAAGTAGTTGTAAATTTTATATAGTTGGTTTTCAAATATTCTATGTAAAAGAAAAAAAACTTTTATAGGTTGTCATCACCTTTTGAATGTTACCAAAATTATCATAAGGCAAGGTTTGTTTTATTTTTCTGTTATGTTTATTCATATTAATTGTATTTTCTGTATTATTTTTTTTACAGAAAAACAAAGCTTTTAATAGTTGAGGTAGAACAAGATCCAATTGTTAATGTTATGTTTGCAAGTGTAAATAAATTTTACTTACATTAGTGTGCTTCTTTAGTCAGTATCTTTACATACAAGTATTATTTTTCTATTTTAAGTATGTAATTTTATATACAGAAGTTCTTAGTTTTTGTTTTATTAACCATCTGTAAAATATTAGATGAATTAGAGTACTGACAATGTTACTTGCTTCTAATTCCTACATCAAAATTATTTGAACTCCATATTTTCTTTACTGTAGCTGAAATGTGAGGTAACATTATTAAGGTCCAGCAGAATCTAAAATCACCTCTATTGAGGAAAAAAGTAGTAGCTTTATAAAAATAAATAAACAGCTTTATGTTAAGCATATTCAGAAAGATACTAGTCTAAGAATGATGTTGTATTATACAATTTTTTGTTAAATTTGTACCTTTGTCTGAAGATGGTACAATACAGTCACTATTTGTTTAAATTTGTTTCCCTTGTCAGAATATATACATATATGTTGGTCCTAAAAAACAAATCAGCATTTTACTCCTTATGTCATCATGTATTTCAGGAAGTGACCATAAGTATTAGGATAACTGTTTTGTTCATTTGGTTATGTTTAATAAGTCTGTATCATTAAAACAGATGTGATGAATTATCAACAGTGTATGTACATACACGATGTAAAATGGTGATTCTTTCAATCAGAAACGTGTTATGGCTATTATAAAGGTAGTGCACAAACATATGTAGTTATTAGAAATTATGAACTGGGTTGTGTGATTGAAACAGAAATAGATGTAACTAAATAATCATTAATTAAATAAATAAAGAAGAATGTAAATATTGTATTTTTGACTGCAAATTTCTATTTTTTTTTAATTTGTTTGAATTGCATCTTTCACTTTTTTACATTAGTTTTTCCAAATTGGCAAGTGTTATAAAGGAAATATATGATGTCTTTCAAACAGCCACAGTAATACAAACTAATTATTATCACATTTACTTTAGAATACTAGGTGGAATAATCATAACTTTTTTGTATTCTTACACTAACATTCAACTGATTATCCCATACACCTTATTCAACTTCAGAGTTTTTTCACTCAGGTGAATATATTGGTTTGTAATTGTGGCTTAAAAACAAATCTCAAGTCATACTAATAGATAATGAAAACATACATTTCTAAAGGTTTATCTTGTCGGAAATAAACTTGGTAGAAAATATAAAAGCAAGGTTCAGTTCAATCACTACTGTTTTAAAGCAATGCATCAGGTAATTTTTAATACTTGACACATACATTGTATACGTTTTTGTTTTTTTACATTCTTCGGTATAAATACATCTAGTTTTTGATCATACACAGTGAAAATTACATCCTGTAACAATTTCAGCAAAGTGAATCACAGGATGAGCCTTATTTTATTTGACAATAAAATTGGCAGTAAAAGTGACTAATACATTTTATCATGTCTAAGATTGTAATTTTATCATATAGAAATTCAAAATATACAAAAAAGTAAATACCTTAAATACACACACATATGCTTTTAAAATACAGAAATATACATTTACATGATTTTTCTTTACTTGTAGACTACATATTGCTTTCTGACCATTTTTAAAAATCCAAAGAACAACAAAGTACAAATAAAAGTGTACTGTGGCTGTATGGGTGTTTCTATTTTAGTTTCACCAGAAATCAATGAAACAAAGTTTCAGTACCAAGTAAAACTGGAATACATGTATCAATGAAACTCTAACAAAACTTTGTCATTTTGTAATTAAAATTAATACATATATACATGAAGTTCAGAACCAGTCATAAGAGATGGATTCTTGATGCAAAACTGTATTATATACATAAATTTACTTAAAACTTATCAATGTATGCATAATAATACTCTCCAGTAATGAGCTTGGATTACACACACTTTAGAAATTAACTTGGAAAACACTGGTATATAGCTATTATCTACTCAATAACCTTAAAGCACAGATATCTCATTGTGGATTCAAAACAACCATAGAATTATTTCATGAATAAACCTATGTCCAAATACATTAACAATTCAACATAATGCATAAGCACAAGTTTTTATTAAGGTAGATAACTGCAATTTCACCAAGATGATCAATACAAGTTAAGGCTACAGAGATTCCTCTTCTAACTTCATAGTTTACAGAAGGTAAAACTAATGCATACATAAATTAAAGAAAATATCTGTGCTTTGGTAAATACTTGTAGATATATTTTTCATGCTTTATACAATATTTCTCTATTTACATTCATGTGTTCATTACTGCTTAAAAGATTGTGGACAGTAAAAACTATACATTTGTCAAACAACATAAAAAAAAAATAAAGTTGTTACTTTTCACTGTAGTTTTGCCTATCGTGGCTACTGCAATGAAGGCTTTATCAATGGGTAGCATGGCATGGTCAGATATATCAATTGCAGAGTTTTGAAGTGAAAAGAAATTATAAAGAATAATTCAGAAGTTTTCACTCAGCACTTTTTTACAATACATGTCGAAGTAACAATTACTAGTAAAGCTAAAAAGGTATAATTATATTACCTAAATTAACAAAGATGTGAAACCTTAAAGCATTTTTTAAAACTTGACACAACTGTCAATCTTAATTTCCAGAAATACTTTTACTGATTATAAAATAATTTAAATGAATTCCTTCTTTGGTTTTCAGAGAGTGAATTATAGGTAAAAGTGGAATGATGTACAAACTGACACACTAACACTTGAACACATCCAAGACCATGTGGAATGACATTAAATATGTACTATGAAATAAAGCAAGAATGTATAGCCAGAAAAGTGCCAAAACCAACTATATGGAAGACTTTCTTTCTGCACTTCACTATCTTTCTTTTGAAACTGTTTTTAGGTTATACACTTTGAAACTTCATATAGCAAGTCTTAAAACATGTTAATTTAATTTTCACATCAAGCATGCTCAGCATGCACACAAGTCTATCTGTTCAAACATTTCTTTACAAAAACAAAAAATCAGATCCTGCTGATCAACAAAGCATCTATCTTTAACACTACCTGTTTCAACACTGGCTATTGATAATAACTAATGACCTGTTGATTTTTAAGATGTAGCTTCGAACACAGCAACTCTATCTCGAATATGTTTTTGAGGTGAGGGAACATGCTGAAGAGATTTACTTTCCCTGGAATTATCTGAGCTAGTTTTAGCAGAGGCAGTTTCTTCTGATAAAAATATTTTTGGCACAATTTTTGATTCTTCATCACATTCAGTCTGGTTTGTTTGTGTAGCAGGGATGGATTTAATTTTGAGTGTCAGGCCTTCTATATGTGCTTTCTTTACTGTTAATCTAGCTGCTTGCTTTTCTGGAATAGGAGGTCTTACTCCATGAGACAAAACAGGTCCACTAAATTTTCCTTTACATGTACTAGGCATGTCTTCTGTGAAATGTTTGGGACCATAATGACTAACATCATAGGATAAACTTGCATTAGTTGCTTTTTCTAAGAATTGCTTTTGCCATTTTTGAGCACGTTCCCTAACCCATATTTCTCCTTCTTCATCACCTACTTTGTTTTTCATGACAGGTTTAGGACCTGTATCTTTTGCATATACAGCAGGGCAAGTAGCTATGGTATGGCACTCCTGTTCTTTCACTGGAGATGATAAAGAATTGAAAATTCTTGAACACGTTTCAGATTCACTTTGTGAGGAGAATGGGTTTCTTCTCCAACATGCTTTATTGTTAGAATCTTTACTGAAACTAGCCGACCTCCATTTCTCTCTCAGCTGATTCCTTCGCTCTTCTTTTAAACGATTAATTCTTTCCCTTCGATTAATAATTTTAGAATCCACTGGAGAAGATTCTGATCGAAATCGACCATGTGATTCTAATTCTCTGGTAGGGGAATTTAAAGGAGATAATGAGTGCCATCTAATGGGACCAAAAACATCTTCTCTCTTTGTTGAGGGTAAATCAACAGGATTTCCAAGCACATCTTTGTTTTCTGATAGTGAAATTTCTTGAGTTTGAACACATTGTGTTTTATTTTTGTTTTGTATACTCATGCTATTACAGTTTCTTAATATGTCTTCTCGTTTTTGCACACCTTCTTTTTGAGAGTTGCAAGTTGATGTCTTTTTTAAATCCAAGGTTCGTGGCTTAATAATGTTCGATAGTCTCACTTCTTTGATTTCTTTGGATAAAGTTGTTTCTGGACCCCAAGAGTATGCTTTCTGAGCTTCAGTTTTTGAGCTGAAAATCTGATTTTGTGTAAAATCATGGGAAGCAGGATGTTTTTGTATGGAATCAGACCAGTGATCACATTTGGCAGAAACTGTATGAGTAGGTTGCTCAGATTGAAGTGTTAAGTTCTTAATCTGAGTGAAAATATTAGTCATGGGAGAGTTGTATTTTATAAAGTTACAATCATCCAATAAATCTGTTTTATAAGGTTTTTTTTCACTGCTAAAATGTTCTTCTTTTAGTAAAGGACTTTCAAATTTTGAGACTAATTGCTTTAAAGAAGCTTTTTTATTCTCATGAGGAAGTTGAAGATATACTTGTGTCATGGTTGGCTCTGAAACACGTTTACTTTCTCCAACTAAAAGATTGGGTGTTAATCTAAGAGATGTACCACTTGGTTCACTCATTCTTTTTCTTTCATTTTCCTTTTCTTCAAAAGTTTTTTCAAATTGTCTCCCTGGGGATCTGCGAAGTTCTACCACATCAGATGTTTTTTTTGCATGCTCTTTTGTAATATCCCAGGACAAATCAAGCTTCTGTGTTTGAGTGAGCAACTGTGAATCTTTGTTGAAATTGTATGAAGACTTCTCTTGTTTGTGCTGAAACTTTTCCTGCATTTCTGCCTTTATTTGTTCCATTTCCAGTTTCATCTTCCGATCTCTTACTATTGTACGTCCAATTTCTGACTCAAATTTTCGTTTGCATTCTTCTACAGGTGAAGGCCTTTCATAGCTGATGCGTTTTCGAAAAGTAAGATCAGAAGAACTTTTATCTTGAAAAAGAGAGATTTCCGACTTCTGACTTGAAACAGTGCTAGAATTTTGCACATCCTGATGATTTCCTAATTGCTGCTCCATCATCATAGAGTTTTTTTGTTTACTTGCTTTCAATTCTTCTTCTTCCATCTTATGCTGGATAGCTTCTATATTTCTATTACAAATTCCTTCACAACTTAGTCTGCCAGTTTTCTGTAGGTTGGAATTTTCAATCATTTCTGGCAAAATGTTTAGATTGGCATATTCATCTGTAGCTCTGCATGTTCTAGATACTGTGTATGTATTTCTGACTTCTTCAACATGTTTAGTTTTTAAATCCTCCTGTTTAATCATTTTAGGTATACTGCTAGAAGGAAGAAATTGAAGTGGTTCACAAATATTTTCAGTTCTTTCGTTCTCTTGTAACTCATACAAGTCAGCTCTGTTTGGGAGTGTTTTGGTAGTACTTTTTCCATTTACAGGTGTCATTGCTGTATCATATTCATCAAGCAACTTATAACTAAAAAGTTCATCAAGATCAGAAACATGCTGGTCTTCATTTTCAGGAGTTATACTAGAAGAAGAAAACCATATTTCCTCAGTCTTTTTCTTATTCTTTTCTGACACGTCTTTTGAATAACCTAATGGTAATGAAGATGAATTTTGCTCACTTACTGCTACACCCAGTAATAGTATATCAGAAGAAGAGTCTGGAATGATACAATCAGTCTTCATGGTATCAGAAAGATATTTCTCAGTATCATTTGTCAGGGCAAGCTCCAAATGCTTTGCTGATGCAGCAGTTAGATATGTTGTATCATCATTACCCAAGTTACCCTCTTTTGAAGATAAGGAAGAATGAAGAGAAATGGATCTACATGTATTTACATGTCCTACTGTATCATAATGGAACTTTCTAGAAACTTGGTTCTCATCAACTTTTTCAGATGGCTCAACTTTTGGCATACAAGCAGAATCAGGCAGATATGTCTCAATGGACGAACTCTGTATTAAAGATGAAGTGTGATCAGGATACTGTTTAGTATTATCTTCCTGCAGGTGCTCTTGTTCAATTTTTTTACTGGCAGCTTGCAACATTTCATCTACAACACGATAACTTTCTTCAAGTTTTTCATCCTCATCAGATGAGCTTTCTTGAGTAGCATGCACTTCAACTATGACCGTTTCTTCATTTCCATATCTCTCTATTACTGTTTTCCCAGTAATCTCCTTATCATCTCCTAGATCACTGATGAAACTAAGCTGTGCTCTTCCATCATAAGTTGTTAAATTACTGGACTGCTTAATGAAAGTATTTTCTGCTGCAGCACAAATACTGACTGAATTGTTGTTTACTAAATCTTTATCATATGTCTTAGAAATAACTTCAATACTATTGTTGGCTTGAGGAATATTTATAGAATTCCTAAATTCCTGTTCTGTGGGAAAGGGAAGGATTTTTTTGTTTCCTGTATCTGGAGACAAAGCTTGGACAAACCATTCCTTTGTTTTTCGTATACTTCCTCGTAGAAAGTCCTTTTCTTTTTCTTGACCTATGTTTGACAAACTATCCTCTTCAGTGAAAATGAAAGAAAAATCCAATTTTTTACCAAAAGAAGGGGAACTGAAAGCTTGTCGAAAATGTTTGAAATTCAGTTTTTGCATTTTTGGACTCGAAACATCACTGTCTGAACTTCTGAGTCTTTGTTTTCGTGAACTTTTAGAGGATTCTGAGTAGGATTCCTTTGGCAAGTTCTTAACTTCTTCCTCACATTTGCCATTATCAGATAATGATATCTTCTGGAGGGATGCAATTTCAGTATCTCTCATATGGTCCAATTCACTCTTTATAGCGAAAGATTGCTCTTCAGACCTACTCTCTTTGAGTGTACCACTGTCACCTAATGTAAAGTTCAGTTTATTATCCATCTGTAAAAATACGCTTCCATCATCTTCCTCAACATTATCTTCAGCAGGAATATCCACTGTATTTTCAAAATAAGAATCATGTGATACAGATCGAATATGCTTATGTGCATTAGATGACTTGCAGGAACTGTTTTCTTCTTTCATAAATCCTTCATTACTCCACATTATCTTGAGCCCCTCTGGTTGCAAAAGAAAAAAATAACATTAACTAAATGCCCAAGAATTCTCCAAATATTCAGTTACTTGTTTTCTTTTTTACAAAATACTGAACTGTAAATCCTGTATAACAACTTTTCTTCTAGGCTTTTATAAACACTTAATTGTAATAGATTTACACCAATGAAGTTCATATAGAAAATGTTTTAGTTATACTTGTTCCTTAAAATTTTATCATTCAGGATTTTTTTGTAATGCTATCTTTAGCATAAGTGTTACAGTATACCATTATTCTTCCAGGGGCAGACTGGACTCTAAAATATTACCAGGAAAAAAGCTAGATGGGGGCCCACAAGTTTGTCATAACAATAATAAAACTATGTAATTTTCCAAGGGCATCCACTGGGATTTTCTTGGTGTCTGGTTAGGCCATTTTGCACCTACTGGCATCCCATAAAAATCCAATAGCAAACATAGTTATGTTGTGTTCATAACTAACTTACAATTTTTTCTATGCAATTAGATTTTGTTATTGTAAGTAGTAAACTACATTAGAACATTTCAGTATCACATGCTCATACAGAGGACACCAACACAAAGAATCATGTGATGAAGTCAGTGAAGATATTTGCACAATTAATCTTTTGCTTCAACAAAATGCTCTGATATAGAAAACAATGCTTTAAAGAACCTTTGTAAGTCGTATTGTTTTCATAATGAAAATTATTTATTTTAATTAAACACTTCTTATATTTAATCCACACAGAAGCTTAACTCCTGTTTTTTTTTTATCAAAGGTGTGTGCTAATTCTGCTTCAAGCACACAAAAAACATATTCAAAATGTACACACTGATGTAGGTGATGTATCTATTATTACAGTTTTATGATAGCCAACAGAATATTTGTTGGAAGGATAGAAATTTCCTCTAGAAAATTAAATTATTATCAGGTAAAGAAAACTGTGATGTCCAGAATGAGGACTAATTTGGCCTGCTTAGGATTTGAACCCTTCTAATTTTGTTAGTAGGGTGCTTGACTTAGAACCCTGGTTTGAACCTCAATCACAGCTGGTGTGTTAATGTCCCCAGCCCGAAATCATTTCAACCTTAAAAACCATATGAGCTGAAGTGCGAATAAATAAAACCATTCTTATTACATATTTAGTTCAGCAAATAGTCTAATACAGGGTTTGTACATTAAGTGTAACTTAATGGAGTTTTGTGGGTTTATTCTTGACCTTATGTAAATGCTAAATTGGGTTTTAAAGAGTAAGGAATGAGACTTTTGTTCTCAATAGTGGAAAACTACATTGATTACAATAAAGGGTAATTGTTCTGAGTGAGGAAATTCTGTATGTGAATGAAGAGTTATCTGCTGGTCCCAAAGGAAGGGAATTAGATGGCTGTAAGGTTGGGCAGTTGTCTGTTTAGAACTTGAGCCCTTGCACAGTGACTTAAGTGCAACATTTCCATTAAGAAATCATATCAGAACTTCCCATAGGTGGTGTTAAGCCTTAAGTTTTTTTTCTTATTTTTTTAGAAAGCCGAAAATAATTATGAGACAACTAAACCTGATTGCAATTCATAGCTAACTCGGAATTATAATAGATTATATAAATTTGCCGATAACATTAATATGGGTGATACTAGCTGTGAGAAGAATGCTACTACTGCACAAAAGGATTTGGATTATTTGGTGAGTTGGGTAAATAAATGGCAGATGACTTAATTAGAACTAAATGTACTTCCACTGGATCCCCAAAAGTATTCTGTTCTAAGAGTAAATAAAACCAGAAATAAGAGTAATAAATATTTTTAACTCTTGCTTTTGAAGTTCACATGCCATGCTGTGTTGTAGCCTACAAAGTGCATAATATTTCTCGTGATTTACAGCACACACACATTTTATTGACAGTACAAAGTGGAATGTTAAATGTTCCTTATGTGACATCATTTTAGTGTCTACTGACTGACTGATAGGCAGGACACTACTATATAGTGGTGTGAGTGGTTAAAACAGGTGACCCCAAAAGGGGGCCAAAATAAACAGAAAGTAATGCATGTAGAATATTACAATTTGAATTATCAGTATAATTTTGGTGGAATAACCTTGACAGTGTTATGGAAGAAAAGGATCTTGGTGTTTTGGTTCTTCCATCTCTTTAGGTTGTATTTACAGAAATATTGAATACAAGTCTAAAGAGGTGATAATGTCATTGGATAAACCACATTTGGAGTAGTGTTCAGTCTTGGGCTCCTTACCTTAGAAAGGACATTGAAATTTTGGAAAGTGTTCAGAGGAGGGCTACTAGAATGATACTTGAGATGGAAAAGTTACCATATGAGGATAGGTTAAGGTCTTTAATCTTGTTTTCTCTTGATTTTTAAGGAAACTGATAGTGTAAGTGCATTATTATTTTTGTATTTAATGGTAGGATTAGGAGAAACAAATATAAATTTTTGCAGGGCAGGAATCAACTTCAGCTAAGACAGCTATATTTTTCTAACAGGATAGTTGACTTTTGGAACAGGTTGCCTTCAGATATGGTAGATGTTGCCCCATGAATTTTGAGTCACAGATATGATATCAGTGCCACTGTAGACACATTATAATGTTACAATGAACTCCATTTTTATTGGTAAAAATAACACAAGAGCTGGTGGTGGATGCAGCTGTCTGTCACAATATAACACTCCAGGGCTGGCATGAGCAGTTCAATAGGGTTGTTGCCTCATAAATGATGGGACACAGATTTGATACTTGTTGCCACTGTAGACACATTATAATGTCACAGCCAATCCCACTTTTATTGGTAAGAGTAGCACAGAAGAGGTAGTGGTGGGTGCAGCTGGCTGGTTTTCCCCCTATTCTCTTGATGGTTCAAATTAAGGACTGGGTTATAATATTAGTAGGTATACCATACCTTAAAAAAAAGAAACAAATAAACAGCTGAAAGGACAAGCAAGTTTGGTTGCAATAGGTGTCAAATCCATGATCCCGGGATTATGAGGCAACAACCCTGATTACTAGGCTATGCTTGCTGGAAACTGAACAAACTTAGATTAATGGAAAAATAATAATAATAAATCATAATGGCAATATTTCAATTTCTTGAGTAATTGTAATAGTTTCACAACTCAAATATTATTACTGTTTTTGTGAGTCGTGAAACTAATCATTTCGGCTGAACAAACTATAATTGTTGAAAAGAACAATAAGAAATCATAATGGCATTATTTTGATTATGAAAACAGAAATAATCAAAAACACTAATTTAAATTATATGATTTAATCTCATTTTAAATCTAACCTATATAAAAGCCAGTGTGTGTCATGTTACGTTATGCTTAATTTCTCAAAATAGGGGGAGTCATAAAAATCAAAATGCATTTATCCAGATAGAACAGTTTGATTACTGTCCCCATTATAAATTTTGTGAAAGGAGTGAGGGGGGGGGGGGCAGGTGTAAAACCTTATAAGTGTAGTGATTGTTGGTATAATAAACCTTAAAGTACATAAAATTTATCGTTTCTGAATTAAGCTATTTTCTGTTATATCAGCAACATTTTCAATAAAACCACAAACTTCTTTAATCAATGGAGACTCTAAATTGAGAAATCAACAAATATTTTTCTGGTTTTGTTGTCCATACATTTCATTTTATACTAGTACCCAGACTAACAATATTAGGTTATACTTTTAAAAGCTATTGTTCGAATGTAGTGGTACCAAAATGCACTGGCTTTCCTATATATTAGAAGTTGTTAATCTAACTGATTTTTATCAATAATTATTCTATGAATATGCCACAAATTCATTTCATGAATGACCATAATTTTGATTGGCTCACAAAGGAATTTATCGGCTTTGACTGCCTCGACTGCACTTTTCTGCCTCTTTGTTGGTCAACCTTTATTTATTTACTTATTTCAATTAGCTATGAAATGTGAGGTTAGGGTATACTATAGGGTGGGGGTGGTAGTATTTGCCCCATCATTTTTGATGTGCTATATGCTAGTTAATCAATTATATTGATTAATTTCCCAGTTCCAGGCATAACATGTGTAATGAATTGGTCTTGAATGGCGACTTGTCTGGAACTCATGTGTCAAAAATGAAATGGTTTTCAACACATATTACTTCTGCTACTTATTTATAGATACTGTAGCATGGTGAAAATTTCCCCAATTTGCTAAATATGTTCTCTGAAACTAAGAACTAGGTACCATTTGAACTGTTTCTGGTAACCTATTGGCAAGCACAATTTTTGAGCATTGTGTTCTTACATCTAAAATTATGTCAATCAACTCTTTCATCCAAATATTCATCATAATATCACATAGCAAATAATTCTGAGATTCAATACTTGAGAACAACATCATATAAAAGAATAAAACATTAGTGGAATTAAACATTCAATCTGTTTCTGTAGATTAGATGCTTGTTTAATAAGCACTATTAACACTTGTTTAATAAACACTATTAAGTTTACCCACTTTTCAAATCAAACTGACTTATTTGTGTAGTTACATTCTTTCTTGTGTGTATTAAGCAATATTACATTATTATTAGTCATTACAAACAATTTTACCAAGTTTCCTTAGCAGGAAATTCTTTGAAGTAATATGGTTTAGAATAATATGAAAATACATGAAGTAAGTGTACCCACAAACCATACAACTAGCAAACAGTTATTACCTGTTGGACTTAATGAACGTAGGATCTCTGAAGTGCGATAACATTTATCACCCCTATCCAACGAGGAGATTATTGATTCTGCTCTTTTCTCAGATAGTAACTTAGAGTGAACATGTGATAATTCCATCTCTGTCACAGCCTTTTCCTAGAAGCGTGTATAAGAGATTATTTGTTAAAAAATTCCAAGCACTTTCTATAGAACATACTTCACTTTACATAATGTAAAATGGTGTGTAACCACTCGGCCTTTCTGAAAGCTTATAAACAATTTCTGTAAACAAAAAACAATTTGTTATTCTAAACTGGAAATACTCTTCCTTCATAAAGCTTAACAGTAAACAAGGCATCAAAGTCCTCATCAAGTTAGATGACCAAATGACAACACAGATTTTTTTTCTTTTTAAACTACACAATCTTTCTGGTGAATGCTTACTCAGGTATAATATTCCTACTCTAAACTTTAGTGTGACAGTTATATGGAATATTCAAAATTCTATAATAAAAAAAGAAGAGGTTGACTATACCACGTTTCCTTCTACTGTTTAAGTAAACTTATAAAAATGGTGTTATACATATATGGAAACAAAATAATATGTAATCAAAACAGGCATGGTACATCATTTCATATTATATACACACGAGTATAATGATATGTATGTAAGGAAACTAATTCATTGAACAATTATTAACACAGCCATGTAAATCTTATGAAACATCATATTTCCTATGCTGTGTAAATGTGTGATTAATGAAAGTTATAATTTTCCTAAATGACAATGTATTTCCTATAGGTACTTCCCTCCTCTCACAAGATTAGCTTTTCTCATTTTGTGCTGCCCTCTATATGCAAACTTTATTCAGAAATGCATGCCACAAGCCTTCACCCTCCCTCTGTTGGAATCCAAAGTTCCAACAAATCTCTCATGCAAATCATTATGAGTCACCTCTCCACCATTAGGAGAGCACTACATACCACTACTGAACTATCACTTCAAAGTTTGACAGATGATGCATGCACTGGAAAATTGTGGGGAGGATGGGTGGGAAGTGTAAGTGGAGGGAAGTACCTATCAGAAATAGATTTCCATTTAGGAAAATTATAACTTCCATTAAGGTACTCTCCCTCCCCTCACAAAATTAGTTTGAATCCCACATTGAAATGGAGGAGGGACCAGTGGGAGGGAAGCACAAGCGTATACCTGGAAGCATCCAGAGGACACCCCCAAAATGATAGGAACAAATTAGATGATCCATCTGAGCCAAGTATCTCTTTGCCAAGAACATCGACATGATCAGGAGGACTAGACATGTTGGAAAATATAGGTAGCACATTCGTGTGGAAAAGGATAGTTTAGCAATGTGATCTTAAACAGAAATCAGAATCATTCAATAGCACAATGGAAAGTGGGCAAGTGAGGATGTGTTCAATGGTGTAGAGTGGCTAGGGTGCAATGGACCATACTCGGTAAGTCAACTACATCCAAAACCTCACTTGCTGGGTACCGACAACCTTCACCTCAAGTCCCAGAGTCAAGAGAGAACCTAACATTTCAGTCCAGGAACTTACAGGGTAGCCTAATGCTAGGGATCCAGGAATATGTCATCCGGAATCCAAGGGAAGTCCATCACATGCACTGAACCCCCACGACCATGAAACCAGCCTGAAATGACCCCAGGTTGGTAACATCCTCATCACCCAATGATGGAAAACCCAGGACAGAAGTGGAGACAGGCCACACAGACCTTCACAACACAGAAGACAAGTTGAGAGGGGAAGATGGACAACCCAAAACCTGTGTGAGGACTTATGTGATTGGTTCACTCAATCTCCAAAATCTCACATGATGGGTACCGACATCCATGCGGGGGTAGGAGGAAGGCACTCAATCGGAGGGGTGAACTGCATTTGGGTGTCTCAACTCCAGGAAATAGTTATTCATCCGTAGGATCTTGTAACTCCCTCTACACAAGCAGAACACCACCACCCTACTCTGAACTGAATGGTTATAGCCATCTTTGTGGAACCCATTCAGCAGGTTAACTGCATGGTCAACCACCCCAGTGGCTTGTAACTGGTAAGGACTCCTGTACTCCGCTGGAAGAAAGGGGGGAAAAGTGTGGTGGAGAGTCCAGAGGGACTGCAACACCCGAGACAGTACAACGGGTGATTATGGAACCCTATTTAGAAAAGCAGACCACACCAATTTATTCAATCTATGCATACCAGGGATGGGCAGCAATCCCCTTCTGCTCTACCCATGCCATCCATGGATGGTATAGTCCAGGATGGGCATATTATGATGCAATTATCACGAGGAATTTACACTCTAGTGATCTTGAGAACCTTCCCATCTCATGGGTGAGCATACATAGCCATGGAAAATGTATAAGAATCAACAGGTCTTACAGTGTAGATTTGATGTCTGTGAATGTTAGCATTGGAAATGTCCACCTTGGTCACCCAAAGACCTTGAGAAAATGCCCACCGAAAAATAAGGTATGTATCTCCCTGGTCTTCTTGGGAACCACAAACAGGTTGGAGTAAAACCCCTATGAACCTAGTTAGCTGGTTTGAAAGCCTTTTGTGTGATGAGGTCCTGAACTGCCTCTGACAGGCGCTGGTGTGTTGAGGGATCCCAAGGAGAAGGGAAGGGCACACTGAATAATGGAAGAGAGAAAAAGGGGATAACAAATCCCTCCAAGAGCACCTTATGAACCCAGACATCAGCGAGAAAAGGTCCCCACAGATGAACTAAATTCAATAGACAAGCTCCCACTTGGCATGAAAAGACCACATAGTCACCAGTACCGCTGTTGGTGGATCGTGCATATATCAAATCGTGGCACTGCAAGAGGGTGGGATGGAAAGAGGTTGGGAAGGGGAAGGTAGGGGGACAGGAATTGGTGCCGTGCTCGGCCCTGACTGCAACAAGCGAGTTACCAAATGAGTAAAGGTAGAAATTAAGAATGTCGATGGGCCGAGGCCACCCGCGACTCCAAAGACTCAGGAACCGAGTCAAACACATAACGCTGCCAAAATAGCACCATGCGGAGGTCTCTCAAATAAAGAGCCTGGAGATGGGTCCGTGCCAAAACCACATCATGGCCCAAAAGGTCCCAACAACAAACAAACAAAGTTTGAAGCATGAGAGCTGAAGACAACAGACAAATCAATGTAGAAGTAAGGACAAAGAGGATGTTAGCAGAAAACCCCTCAGGGTTGCTCTTTCGCCTTTCAAACTGACCCTGACAATTGTTGGTCATGAAAAGGAAAGTCCGCCCAATGATAAGCAAGGGCAGACTGATCCGAAGTCCATGGGAGATGAGGCATACTAACGCCCTACCCCAGTTGAAAGGCAAATCGATCCGAGTGAACCCTAATATCGGGGGATAGACTAAATAGGGTCGGGAAGTTTCATGTAAGAGTGCTGGTCTAGGGCCATAAGAAACAGGTGTAAAAGACAAAATATCACATACCTCAGAGATAAAGTGTAAAAAGACCGATGACGAATAAGCTGAATCATCAGGTAGTGAACGAAAAGGCGCGGTAAACCCCAGGTGGGGAAACAAACAATTAAAATTATCTACAGCCTGGCGCGGCCCAAAAGGCTCAGGAGAAAGTACAGTAAAATTAGATGAGAGAGGTAGCCTCATATACCGCTCAATCACTTGGCGAATGAGCTACGATATACCCCCTAACGGGTCACCCGTGGCTGAAAATATGGCATCAGACGCTGGCGAAGTACCCAAAATGGTGACTTTAAATTCAGAATTCATAAGAGGGAAACATGAGGAATTAATGTTAAATGTGAAAATACTAACTCCACAACTGTGAAAAATATGAAAAAATAAACCAATTCAAGGTAACTAAATAATGTAAAAAACAATGTCTGAACTTGACAGCTGCCAAACGAGAAGTGCTAGTACAGTAGTGGCGTGTAGAGGGAGTCACATGCATCACAGGATAGTAATGCTCTCCTATTGGTGGAGAGGTGATGCATGAGAGACATGTTGGAACTTTGGATTCCAACGGAGGGAGGATGAAAGCTTATGGCATGTGTTTCTGAAAGAAGTTCACATATAGAGGGCAGCACAAAACGAGAAAAGCTAATCTTGTGAGTGGAAGGAGAGTACCTTATCGGAATATCTGTCAACCAACGCTACTATATAATTAAGAATATGGTATTCAGTTACACTAATAATTGATATCTTACAGGTAAAATATAAATATCCTCAACATACAGCAGATTCAGGAAATGTTATGTAAAGAAAAAAATAAAACAGAAAACAAAAGAAAATGCATATACAAAAGTGCATAACAAGAACAAAAAATATCTTTAATATAAACTTTCAGAGCAAAGGAAAGTACTGTGCTTGGAGTATTTCTAAAGCTGTGTTAATGGGACATTTATTGCTTCTGAAACTATCATCCCTTGAAATATAGTAATTCATATCTTGATTTTCATGGTTTCACTGTTTTACCATGTTACTACTGAAACACAGTTTTGAAACTAACTACAAGCAACATTTGAATACAATTTGACAGAAAAATTACAAAATATTTATACTGATGTAGAATAAATATAGAAGTGTGAGCAGTAGGGATGCAGAAAGGAATCTAATTGGAAGTTTAGAAGGCTTAGAAAAAATTGCAAATCTGGGAATTTTTTAGTTTCTTTAAGCATCATTTAAATCACTAGAAATGGTTTAGTGTTAAATTATATATGATTGAAAGCTATAAGAAGTTTCTTATATAATAATACAACAGGTCAGCCCTAAACATGTTTTGGGAGTACAATATTGAATGACAAAATATTCTAATGACTCAAGTCCTTATTCATTTAATACTGTTGTTACATTTCTTATATTACAAAATGCACATAAATAAAAAAAATACTATTTATTGCAAAGAAGCTTTGTTTATTAGATATAAATTGATCTTGGCCAAGTATAATGTCAGCAAAAGTATTGTTACTTAGCCTGATAAAGGTAATGGTGACAGCTATGTCACTAATATATCTATTAGTTTATGCCATGCTTTTTTACAATTTGCATCCAGAAGTGGTGACTACTGTGATTGGCAAAATGAAGTATCAAAATAAATATGTTAATGAAATTGAAACTGACAGATAGATGAAATAGAACTTTCTAAGAAATAACATGAAAAATTTAAATTCTAAAATAAAAGGTAGTATTTTTAGTGTTTTTTCATTGAAAAAATAGTGTTACAAAATAGCGTCTCACAACAAAACTTTGGAACTTTCACAACCTGACAAATGAGATAAAAAAGTAAATCAAATTACATGAATTCTTTTAAGCCAAAACTAGATACTATTTAGTAAGTTTGTTCAAAGTTTCGTGCAATTTATATGAAAGCTTGATAAGTATTAAATAAGTATTTTCAACAGATGAAGGAAAAAAATCAAGGAATAATCAGTGATACTCCTCTAGTTCAGATAGAGTGATAATATACTTTATATATTCCTGAATGGTATAAAACTGGTTAAATCTATAGCTAGTTAGGATAGTTTTAGCACATAACAAAATGTGACTTTCTATGGTAAAATCATATAATAATTATAAAAAAGGTATAGTTAATTTAATTAAAACATTGTATCTTCTCCATTTGTAACAACTGTATTCTACCATAAAATTCCCACTATGAGACTACGACTAATAATTTGGTATATATATAACATACCTTCAAAGGTATATTTGTACTTGCATATTGCAGGGAACAAGTGCTAATTTTTCGAGGGCTTAAAATTAGGTCATGGTAACCTCGATCTTTTTCTCTAGTACTTCCCGAGTTCCAGCCTCGGGAGAAGAAAGACTTCCATCCAGATGGAGACTTCTTTAATTTTCCACTACTTCTTTTGCTGCAATTCATTTACATAAGATTTACAAAAAATAGTCCAACAGTTCTAATCCAAAATTTTCTAAAAGCTTATAATACGGATCACATTATTTCATATGATAACTTCTCAAAAATATGTGGGTATGTCCAAACATTACTAAACTTACAATTTTATGATAATATTCACAATATGGAAATACAATTTAGGTTGATACCTGAATTTTGTATTCATTCAACACTCTACAAAAGCTTGTAAATGATATATATTGAAATGAAAAACAATGATTACATGGAACTAAACATTATGTACTATAACTTTCTCTGTTATCAAATCTGATGATGGAAGCAATTGCCAAGTTACAAAAAATAACATAATTAAGTTAGCAAGGGTAATTGTGCTGTTTTCTTAATGTTTTTCATTCTATACTGCTCTCTTCAAAAGCCAATATTATCAGAAGAAAATCATTATTACCTGGAAGATGAAAGTTCGATAACAGTGTGATACTTGTCTGGAAGACTTTCTGGCCCACCTCCAACATCAATATATTTTTGTTGAGAAACTGCTAAATTAGAAGATAAAACTCTTGATCTTGCTTCTTCTAAAGACAAAAGTTTTGTGGGAGTTGAAATTGCCACAGATTTTGGCCTCAGCTTCTTAGAAGTGTCTGTGAAAAGGAATGAACAAGCTTTCTTATGTTACACAAGATTCACTATCTATGTATAGATATTTCACATGATAAGCTATGACCTACATAGAGATGTAAGATTTTTCTTTCGAAATACAACTAAAGCAGGGAATAAGGTGTGTCACAAGGTTGTTTTAGGTTTGTACACCATAGTCATACTGAAAAAAAAACATATAGTAAAGCAAGCTTTATTACTGAAGTTAACAATGGTATTTTAAATATAATAACACAAGCAACACAACAGAATCTAGAGAAATAGCTAATACTTAAGCCCATATAAGAATTACTCGCAAATTTTCAGTAAAAAGCAAATATCAGAATGTCAATTTTATGTAATTCTTGGGGGGAAGGGGCAGTTTCATTGAAGTTAACAATTCACTGTGAGTAAAATCAATGAATATCAAAGTTACGGCTTATAAGGATCTGGTGATTAGGATGCTCGACTTGCAACTTACAGGTCATGTGATCAAACCTCGTCACTGAAAATGCCTTCCCTTTCAATTGTGGGGGCATTATAATATGATGGTCAATCCCATTACTTGTTAGCAAAGAGCAGCCAAAAAAGTTCGGTGGTGGGTGATGTTGACTAGCTGCCTTCTCTCTAGTATATCACTTCAAACTTAGAAATGGTTAGAGCAGATAGTCCTCAAGTAGCTTTGTGTGAAATTTAATAATAAAAAAAAATACAAATTATAACTGATAGAAAAACAATGAAAATAGAGCTAAAGCTTATAATGAGTAGAAATAAATAATATTCACTATGAAGATAAATATTATAATTAATTGTGTATGTATTTTGCCCAGTTGTTACTTAAAATTTAAACAAAACTTCTTCCTATAATTTGCATTTTAAAATTTTTATTCAGTACATTTGCAAAGCACAGCAGGTGTGCATGTTTATATATGGATTGAAGGTGAATTGTTTTGTACCAGAAAAGCATTATGTAAGATTAATAAATCCAGCTACTTTGTTAGTTTACATTTCTGGAAAATGAACATTTTACTGTACCTTTTATTTCAGGTTAAAAAATAATTCATCTCTTTTAATTTATTAAATGCATACAGGATTATGTGGCATGCACTGATAATAAGATGTACATATACTAAGGTAAAAACGACTGAAAGATATATTTAACCTTCTTAATGAATGTTTACTTCATAAGAACCTGATACCTAGTATAGTTCTGCTTCAAAATCCTAATATACATTGGTTGATGTCTCTAATACATTAACGTACTGCAAGCTTATTTCAGTTAGTAACTGTATAAAAAGATTATAATGACAAAATATGAAAGCAGGTGTCAACCCTTTTAGTTTTTATTCATGTAGACATTTAGTGATAAACATTTTCAATATTTCATTAGTGAAACTTTTTGTTCATTAAAAAAGGTTGTCTTATCAATATATAAAGTTGACAAAGGTATTCTGCAAAACATGAAAAGTGTGTTTAAAAATTAAAACATTGCTCAACTATTTAAAATTTTTCATTTTTTTGTTTGTTTATGTTTCTTATACCTTCCCTGCCTTTTTATTGATCATTTTTTATGTCCAAAAACTTATTTGAGGAAAGCTTACATTTTTCAATTTGGTTGATTGTCCTGAATAATCCAGTATTTTGGTTTTAAGTATTAACTTTTCCACCCAATATTCAATCTCTTTCTACAGCTTTTATAAACTTTCATTATAAAAAAATCACCTTGTTCACTACTTGGGCTCTGAAGTATAGGTAATTTGTCATTAAATATGAGATCAACATAACGAATCAGGTACTCTGTAAGAACTGCTTGGACACCAACAACATGCAATGCCCCAACTCCTCCTCCACTTTCCACATCTTTAGATCTGTAGAATAAACATGTATTACACTTGGAATAATGAATATGTTAGCAAAACAAAAAAAAACACATCACTCTGCAATATAATTTTCAAAACCTTTAAACAATTTGTTATAAATTATTTTGTGTTGTAATATACAGCTAACTTAAGTTTTCTTAATGTACAGATTCTTGCTAAAAATAAATAAAGGAATAACCTCTTTTTAAAAAGATATTTTCTGTTTACAGAATCAGACATTGAAATTTCTAACTTACTTACTGATTATTCTTCATATAAGCCACTATTTAACATTATGCACAAATATCTAAGCTAAACATAAAAATACATACATTTATTGTCCTTTCCATTCAAAGATCTTTTTTTATAGTGTTATCTATTATAAGTGAGAATGGTAATTTTCAAATCTATACAAAAAATCAATTTTATAAATATACCTATGGAAAAATAACATTTCTTAAGCTTTATGTTATCACATTCCCACAATCTTTTGTATAGAGGTGGAAATTCTTTCTAGTATAAATTTAGTAAAATAAATGAGCAAAATAAATACAACTTTATTATACAGTGAGGTCCCCTTTATTGATACTGTTACTAACATTCTGCAGAAATAGAATTTTAAACATTAAGGGGCAGCTTAAAAAGCTCCAGTGCCCGCATGTGGGATGGTAAACCACAGATCTCTTATAAAAGTAATTGGTTTATATCTTAATGTGTGTGTGATGACAGTATTCCAAATACAAAGTTAAAATTAAGGTTCTTTTATTGACTCTGAGGTATGACATATCTCCCATTTCTGGTAATCAGCAGAAAGTCTGCACTCTGAAGATTTTTGCAATTCTGCAGCTCTGATCTCAAGTTCCATTAGATTTGTGGGCACTTCTCAAGTTCCATTAGACCTAGAAAACAATTTTGGGGATTTTTTATGTTCATTTGGACCTAGAAAACAGTTGTAGGGATTTTTCAAGTTCCATTAGACCCAGAAAGTAACTATCATATGGGGGCTATTTCAGGAATTTGTGTTCTATAGAATACTAAACACTACAATGATTTCAATCAAGAATGAAAGATAGAAAAATCATATGCACAACACAAAATTATTGTTTCACACTTGGCAAAGCTGCATATGCACACAAACAAAAGTTATAAGTTATAAAAGAGCTTTAATATAAGCTATGAGATAAAACTGTGTGTGCAAACAGATTTTTGAAACACAAATACACATATAAACTGAAGTTGCTGAAATTAAACACCTAAGTAAGTTTGGTGCCCATACAATGGCAAGATTTTTCGGTGTCATTGATGTATGGCTGCCATAAGAGGCAACCTTAGCTAGGTGCTGCATCAGAAACTCCAAAGTTCGGTAGTGAGGAGGTGGTAGCTGCTGGACAATGTCTCGCAGCTTCAAGAGTCGAAGACCTTCTTCAGATTGAACTGCACCCTAACAAGGAGGAATGACAGAATTACAAAGTTATTCTACTTAATACCACAGAATGAATAGAAATAAAGTCTAAAATACCTGATATACTGTACATAATAGTAGATATTTATATAATTGAAATTTGAATATAATGTTAGTTTCATAATATATAAATAGTACATTTTAGTCCAGGGAAGCAATGTATTTGAGTATAAATTATAATCTACTGGACTTAATAAATTTTGAAAATTTTTCATGAAATATAAAAACCAATATTTTGAAGTTTGATAGAAATAAAGCAATGTATATACTTTACTCAAACCTACAAATTTTTAGAAAATTAAAAAAACATGTTAACATTAAAATTCCATGCTTTTGAAAGTTTCATAACCAAGAATTAATTAAAAAGTCATTAGAAATGTTATAAAAATACTCATGTTTGATCCCTAGGATACATATATATATTTTAGAATAATCCAATCTTGCGAGACAAAAATTGCTTTAGCACTGTGTGTATATTTCAGAAAATATATGAAATTTTATTATACAAATGAATATATATATATATATAAATATATGTATACAACACACACACACACACACACACACAAAGAACAATGATCCAACTGTTTTGTGTCACACCTTGTTGTTGTGAGGCTCTCTACGAACTAATTTCAGTGAAAATGTGTGGAAAACTATGTTTCAGAACTGTGGATGAAAACATCATACAAGCTATAATGGAAGCAGCTGGTGATAAATGAATATTATACAATTTCCTGAAACAATAAAATTGCTTATCTATAGTACTTAAATTTAAGTACAAACACTATGAAACTAACCACAAACTTATCATAAAGTTGGTAAGTCAACAGTGGATTTGGTAGTTCTCTAAAGTACATTTTCAACAATGAAGCAACACAGTGGACATCTTGAAGTATGGCTTCATCACTGAGGTCTGGGGCTCTGTCTTCATCAAAACCTAGTCTAACATATTAATATAACAATAATTTTCAAACTTTTTAAAAAAACAATATTTCAACTTCATGACAAAAAAGTATTACTTAACCATATATTTCTTAATATGATTAATTCCTTTGATATTGCATTAAAACATAACTGAAAATAATCTATATCAATTTGATATTGTTAAGTATTTGAAGCAAATTTTGTTTTATAATTATGTTTGTAAGAGCATGAACTTGGGATCCTAAATATCATATTCTCTGTAGAACAACCTACTTCTGATTTAAGTTAATAGATACACTAATTATTTATACAAAACAATGATTTTACATGCCACAAACTATTTCAGAGATTTTTCATTTGATCTTTTTTTAAACGTTATAAAAAAATCATATGTAAAATATAACAATTTGAGAAAAAAAGATCAAGAAATAAAAATCTGGCACAACAAGATTTACCTAGAGATGCACTAATACCAATAATATTTTAAAAATCAATTACTTCATTTTCCACTATTGAAATTAGTACTAACACTAACATAATAGTCATTGTATCTTTAGTTCCATATAATCAACATTCATTCAGTATAATTAGCACTACTTTTTTTCCTTAGTCATGTGTTAGGTGTAGGAGGAGCACAATTAATTTTTTTAATATAATTAGAAATATAACATCATACCTGTTTACATAAAAACACTAACATCAGAAACTTCTTTTTATCCCCAGCTAAACACTATCCATACTCTCTGAAGTATAACGTAGTCTCTAGTTAAGCAACAGACTTAGCATCATAAGATTTGTGTAGTAAAGCATCATCTCCAGTTAGGCAAAAGTTCCATGATCAGATGCAAACTTTTATTACATCAAAAATATTTCCTACACACTTCATACCTTTACTATCTTATTAAATGAACAATAATAATAAAAACTATTGATAAATGCCACTGTTATGCTAGTATTTCCACCAGGTCCACTAATACAGGAAAGCCAAATTCTTCCTCATCCCAGTACAGCATTGTTTTCGTATTACATAATTACACCAATTAATACTGCCAACTCATTTCAGGATTTAGTAAAGCTTAAAACTTTTCAAAAACATGGTATTAAGATGAATGTTTAAAACATATATATAAGAATGTGCACAAATGAAACAACTCTGATCTTTAATGAAAACTAATGAAATTTAAAGACAAACATTCTTATCATTTTTAGTCCCTTCGAAGAATTACATATTAGTCTATTAGAAACTTTATATATACACAGCGTGGTCACAAATAAATAGACACCACCTTTTCAGAAAAAATGAAATTTTTCAGTCATATTCACATGAATTGATATATTTATAATTTAATTAATATCTAGTAGATCTTCCTTTCGCTTCGTGGAGTTCGTTGTTCCTTTGGGGCATCGTGAGAATCATCTCGTCACTTTTATATTGTGGGATTTTCGCCCACTTCTGCTTCAAAACTTGGAGTAGATCGCTCTTCGAAGTTTTTTTTTTTTTTGTTGTTTCTTG